CGACCTAAACTTAAATCGGTAGCCGGTAAAGTAATGGGAAATAAAGACGGCCGTCATAATGTCCCCATCACCCACCGAGTGCAGATTAGGTGCTTGTAACGAAGTCGAGCCCAGAAATAGAGTGACCTTCCGTGCCATTCATGCCTTGTAGTGTCGCAAGGCCTGTCCTATGATGCAGGGGTGTCACGCTTAGTGACGGACCAGCAACGGAGACGTATATAAAGTATAGGTCTACTAGCACTGTGCTAGGGACGCATTGATCCCTTTTTGTAGACATAAATCTTTGACACAGCCGATTAGTGAACAGTTATTTTAGAATCTGCAGACAATCTAAAATCCCCGGTGGACCAGTCTAAATTCAGTATCAGAAAATGTCATGGAAAGCAAAAGCGATCGTTGTGATGTTGATCTCATCATCCACCGACCACTGATCGGTCTATGAAGAATTATGGGCGGAGCACCATATGTCCAGTATTCCGAATGACGTGAGAAAGGCCCCTTTGTCATGGCATAGAATTGCGTCAACACATGAAATGACAGCTGCAGTTGGAGATCGCCAGAGGTAGAAAATCCGTATCGCCAACTCCAGTCGGCAAGGTGCTTGATGAGGATAATAATGTCAGTTTGACAGCTTAGCTACAAGCTCGGTTCGTTTATTTGTGTACATGTACACATAAAATAGATTACGCAACTGTGAAATATATTTTATGTTGAAGAAGGTCAGATGCAAACTTTTCTGTACTTTTTTTTTTTAAAACAGGGAAAACGTTGGTAACTCTACGCTCTTAAAGGGAGGTTAGCATATTGCTTTGTGATTTAAAACAAGCATACGATATCTGTCCAACACACCTGAGCCTTATAAACCCTTAAGATCTTATCTGTTATAAACTTTTAAAGCGCTAATGGGTCTGAGTAAGACTGTAGGAGTGACCAGAAGAGATAAAATCCACAACGAGGTCGAACGAGATAAAGTCGGCACAGAACCAATTCTAAACTACATACAGAGACAGCAAATTAAATGGTTGGCAAACTTGGAAAGGATGTCTTCTGGTGCTATACCACACAAGGCACATACCAAAAGAGGAGAGGGACGTGGAGAATGAGAAAGACCAAGAACTATATGGAAAGATAACATCAAAGTAACTCTACAGCACCACGATGTGTCTGTGTCGAAGCGGCTAGAAGAGCACGAAGCAGGACCTTATATCTCCTTCGACACCCGAAGCAGGACCTTATATCTCCCTTAATACCTGAAGCGATAAAAGAGGACGTAAAGAAGAAGAATGGGTCTTTTCTCGTCTTCTGCCCTTCTCCGTGTCCCCTCTCACAATAGAGCCCTGGAACCCACACAGTGATGTAACAGACAATGCCTCATGGGCTAGGATGGCCAGCCAGACTGTCGCGGAATGCGACAAACATGTCAGAATTTAGATATGGAATACAACAATGTTAGTGTCAGCCTTTCACCCCTTGACGTACACAAACTGTCAGTAGAGACCTTTCCCGGTTCGTGTGAATCTAAACATTAAACGTCCGTGAGTTTGCGTCAGGTGGTAGTGGTATTCATCCCAGACAGCCTAGTGATTACCATACTCTCCGCGTGTGGGTTCCGGGGTCCCATTGTGGGGGAAAACAACAACACTCTGCCTCGTAAGCAAGCATGTCGTAGGAGTTGACTGCACACAAATAAGCCAGTTAAACCGATGCGTATGCAAAACTCAGGCCCTGGCACACAGCCAATCTAAATGGACGAACAACCAGGAATTTCCGCTGAAGCTTACAGCCAGTGAACGAAGAACATCACACTTTTCTTCTTTTATGGACACAATAAGGAACATGGGACTCGGATGCGAAGTCTCGGACTCTGGGTCAGGATCGTCAAAAGAAAATAACAAATGGAAAATGGGTGGGGGGAAAGGGGGGGGGGGGGGTTTATATCACGGTAACTATTAGGTCTAGGCGCAAACGTTGAAACCGCTGAACTTAGAACGTTGAAAACCGGTGTACTAAGAACACCACGAATCAATAACAACAAGTCCATACAGCGACATGAGCCAGATTTTAAAGAGAATAATATTCCGAGACTAAAAGAGACGGACAAATCGTGCCAACAGTAATGGCTGCCAGTCACAGCGGTGTTTGTGAGGCACAAGCTGAAAACCACTGTCCTAAGAAAACATGGTTCAAATAACAAGTTCATACAGAGATGAGAGTTGAAAAAAAAATTAAACAGATTAAGAAACACAAATTTAAACAGACAAGTCGCGCAGACAGTAAAAATAAGAGATGATATTTCAATCAACAAGTTTCTGCGCTAGCAATGACTGCAGACATTCTTGGCGTCAATCAAACTTGTCATAATGAACTCGTTAAAATTACAGTTACTGTCTGGCACAGTATTTGCTATTGCATCTCGATTCCCACAATCAAAATCTTTCCTACAAAAACATTAACCACTCTATGTTATCATTGCCTCACGGGCTGGGTCAACAGGGTACATCCAGATAGTAATTTAAAGAGGACTGACTTCATTGCACCTGCTTGTATCCCATATTGCTAGGACTTCATTCTCCCTCTGTATTTCTTATCTTGCTGTCCAGACACGTTTTCTCCTTCTCAAGATGTGCTACAGCGATGTGGATTATTCTCTTCAGATGCATGTTAATTATTGTGCTTACCCGAAAATATGATTTTTATGTGGTTTAATATAAGCCATACATGTTTGCTTTATAACAGTTAATTTAATCCAACTTCACCTGCTAATATACGTTTCAAATGTTTATAACAACGCCATTACCCTTTTGCAGAATACTCTGTCAAAAATGTTTTTTTTACACGGGCCACTAATGAGTTTTTAAACTTATATAAAGGGATTACACAAAAAATTATGAAGGGCAGTAATCAATAAACAAAAAGAGAGCATGAAATTATCAAATTCCCTTGAGCCAACAAAAGAATACACAGTAGTCCATCACACCATAACCCTCTCGTAACAATGCAACCACCAAAGGAAAATCATAATGCCATAAAGAATTTCTTCTAAATGCTGACCCCCAATTTTAGTATATATAATTATATCCAGCCACCCTAAACACACATTTACAGAGCCAACGCTGCTAACTAGGCCTTTCAGGGACACACCAACACAGCAAAGCCGGTTTAACAGCTTAGATGGCATTTGTAATGGATGAAGATGTCAGGTTGTCAGCAAAAGAGTTAGGGCAGGTTTCACCTGAACATGCCTCGTAGAAAGGAAACAAGCTTAAAGCTCATGACATCATTTATTAAATCTGGATTCATCAAAAAATGAACACACAGGAATTGTAAAGGTTATGGCATTGATAAAAAAATTTTAATTTTCATTTAAGTAATTTCATTACAGTGAGGGAGCATTTGTGAAGGAATGATAAAATGAACTTGCAAATCTCTTTTGATGTAGCATACTGATGTTTTTGTAGGTAGAGATGCAGGTGTTGTGGGCATTAAAGAGTTAATAAACTAGTCAGAACAGTCAGGATAACAGGTGGCTAACTAACTGATTGAACCAACATCATGAACTAGCCCATGCTATGTGGCGCTGGTAGTTATGTCCATCCACAACCTTCTGTCTCGTGTACTTTCAATCATTTATGATACAGATTATTTCCATGCCATTATGGCAAACTGTCCAAGATTTTTTCTTTCGTTTTCCCTCTCCTTCATTTCCCCACCATCGCTATGTATTTGTATTCTCCTTCTCATAACATGACCAAAGAATGTAGATTGTCTCGTCCTCATGTGGGTAATCAGTTCTTTTAGTATGTTCATTTATATCAAGACATCTTCATTAGTCTTGTTATGCCAGGGTGTTCTCATCTTGTAAAAAACTACATCTCTGCCACTTCCATAATTCTGCGACCCTTATATGATGTATAACATAATAGGGTGATGTTGATCAAAATGACCAATATATATAGTCAGTGATGTGTCCTCATGTAGTTTTGGCACAGATCTAGCCTAACTTTATTTACCAGACAACCAACCATATGCTTGGGGAAGTATGCCAGGTTGATTTTTATGCCACAATTTACAGCAGCTTTCAGGTGGATGCCTGTCAAAATCTCTATCCACGCTTGAAAAGAATGTATTAAATAAAGCTCAGAGCACTCGTTATTAGTACATTTACATATGACTGAAACCTGGACCTTAACAGCTGAACTTGAAAGTGAGATTCAAGTATTGGAAATGCAATGCTTTAGAAAAACTCTTAGCAAATCATAAGAGACCACATTACAAATGAAGAGGTTTGCCATATAATTATACTATACAGCACACTGGCAACTATCAACCTCTTTTAACTACAGTAAAAAGGCGAAAAATGCAATGGTATGGACATGTGATAAGATCTAACAGCCTCTCAAAAACAATACAGCAGTGAGAAGAGGCAGGGCAAGAAAGACTTGGTTACAGAACCTAACTGACTGGACAGGCCTCAAGTATGCAACCATGAAGTCCATCACAACTGACCGCCAAAGGTGGAGAGAGCTGATCAGACAGTCAACAGAAACCGGTGACCCAAAAATACGCAGTGTTACGGGATGATGACGATGATGAAATAAAGTACTTAATACAACAAAAACGGTAAAGATTTTAATCAGAATGTTTGGCTGTTTGTGTACTTCTTGGCATCATCTTGCCTGCATGCTATCCCTCCTATCTATGTCATCACTTTACAAAAGCAAAGAGCCAAAGGCTTGCTGAAGCACGCCTTCACTAGTTTAAAAAATGTGTGCATTCTATTACATTTATTTCGCTGTTGGAGCTAAGACTTGTAGACAGTCTCTCATAACAGAAGACCAGTGTGTCCAAAAGTCACACACCAAGGATGACAGGAAACTGCTGTGATGGATATACATGCAGCTGCACCTATAAACACAGTGGAGTGAAATGATAATTTGAACTAAACATGATATTGAATAAGTATCACATAACATTGGAAGATGTTTAAGTATCACCACACATCACAAGAAGTCATAGAGGTACCTCATCACATCAAAATGCACAGTTCTGGGGAAGAGAGAACAAAAAAAAAAAGTGATACAATGGCAAAAGGCCCTACAGTTCTTAGTGTATATGCTGATAGATCTTTAGTGAGAGGTCAGAGTGGGTTTAGTTTAATTGCAAAAGTTAATGGAAAATACTTGATAAAACAAAAAAATTATAAAAAAATAAAAATTAATGATAGCCTTGCATATAACCCCAAAACACCTAAAATGACAATGGATGCAGAGGCAGTAATAGTAGCTTTCCGAAGACTGGAGAAAGTACAGCAAAGTTGAAAATGCTCACAGAGTATGTCTCAGAAAATGTAAACTGGTAACCTATGTGTAGAGCATCACTTGATAGACCAGAGCATATCATGAATGTTCTGCTCAGGACATTCAGGTGCATGGGATTAACTAAAAATAACTTTGCTACAAATACATGTAGGAAAGGAAGCCATTCCAGCAAATAACTAGTCAAATGGTGCTTTTGTGCACAAAATAAGAGAAATGCCTAGACAGCCAAAGATATCAATAGTTTTGAGATAAAGAGATGGCGCTATACTTGGAACATCCTGAGGAGAAGCAAGCAGAGAAATATCACTCAGGCACTTTAATGAGAAACAAATACAAATCAAAGTAAAAGCGCTTAATCCGTCCCTGATCCTTGGATGTATATCAAACAGCACGTTTAGCAAACAATATCCCCCTTAAGAAATAAAGGGAGAATGATTAATCCGTTCCCATCAGAACAATACCCTATTGCTGCTGGCATAATATACACTGATGGGGTTGCATAAAATAGTTTATATACTGCCTAACAACCTCATTTTACCTTCCTGAGAAGAGTCGAGTGCCTATTAAGATGGTAATGAAAAGATGGAAGAGGAAGTTCCCTTCCAATAAAATTTTAGGAATCTGAAATTCTGGTACTTTTCCCCTTTCTATTTTGCATGTCTCTTCTCACTATCTGGAGCCGGTTGAGGCTGATCAGGTTTGATTTCTAAAAATATGCCCAATGATCTTTGCTTCTGCCTTCTCTTCACAACATTTTGGAAATGTGACATTATTCATTCCAGACAATGCTATTACGACTTGTTTCGGCTTTGCTGGGATGATACTCCTCTGCAAAGTCACTGATATCTATCCGTGGCTTTGTCTCAAGAGAGGTTAAAAAAATATTTAAAAAAACAAACCATGTGCCGTCGTGACTAAGTTTGACCCGTACAAGTTCTAGCATGCTGGTCATATTATACAAAGGTCGTATACCAAGCAAATCATATACCAAAACAAACATATAATGAGGGACCACTGCATACAGGAAATGTAGACGACTAAAAGAAATTATAAAATGAAACTTTGAGAGAAGCCTTATGCGATAAATAATGACAAAACAGGATGATGTTGAGGGCTGGTTGCTGTCGCTCAACTGAGTGGGAAGCTTCTTTCTGATGCACAGTATTCAAGCTCTTTTTTAATGCGCAGTATTCAAGTTGTTTATCTTTTCACAGATGTACAACCAAATTGATTTCAGCAATAATTACCTAGCCACAGACCGAATGAAGTCGAGCGTCACCAGACATTTATACTTTGGGGCGGCTATTTTGTCTTCTCCTCCAATCTGGTGCAGAAGGTGAAGGCTCACCAATGAACTGATCTAAATACAGAAGAAGAAAACAACCAGTCAATTAATCATGTCTAGTGGACAATAGATCTAATAGTCATTATTACTGACATGAAGTATACACCAATCCGCAGGGCATGCCTACTGACAAGCCAAATTACCGCAGAGAGCCAGCTTCAAGTACTTTATTGAACTAGCTTCAAGCATCACACAGAACTAGCTTCAAGGATCATACAGAACTAACTTCAAGGATCACACAGAACTAACTTCGAGGATCACACAGAACTAGCTTCCAGGATCACACAGAACTAGCTTCCAGGATCACACAGAACTGGCTTCAAGCATCATACAGAACTAACTTCAAGGATCACACAGAACTAACTTCAAGGATCACACAGAACTAGCTTCAAGCATCACACAGAACTAGCTTCAAGCACCATACAGAATTAGCTTCCAGGATCACACAGAACTGGTTTCAAGCATCACACAGAATTAGCTTCAAGGATCACACAGAACTAACTTCAAGGATCACATAGAACTGGCTTCAAGCATCATACAGAATTAGCTTCCAGGATCACACAGAACTAGCTTCAAGGATCACACAGAAACAGCCTCAAGCATCATAAAGAATTAGCTTCCAGATTAATATAGAACGAATAAATTTTATTTTCCAAGGGTCACAAATTGGGCATGCAGACCCATCTTACATTCGGCCCTTCCAAACACCCATCTTTCACACAGAAGTTGTATTTTATCAATGAAGCTTTTTATGTTCAAATAATAATATTAAGAATATCAAGAAAAAACAAAAACATGGGTTGTAAAATGCATGCACATGCTCGCAAATGCACACACATAGCCACACGCCCACCCACTCACTTACACAAACCTACATGCATACATACATAATACTTAAATAGAAGAAGAAGAAGATGACAGCAGACAGAACTAAAACTAGCTTCAACCATCACACAAAACTAGCTTCCAGAATGATACAGAATTCAAACTAGCTTCATGTATTTGATTCAACTAGTTTCAAGTATCGCGCAAAACTATAGCTAGTTTCTAGTATCACAAATAACTAGCTTTTAATATCACACAGAACTAGCTTCAAGCTTCATGAAAAAACTAGCTTCAATTACTGTACAGATACAGCTTTGTAAAGTTAGTTCTGTATGGTCACTATTAGTTGTGATTTCCTTAATGGGAAATGGGAAACGGGTCACTCCAGTAAAACCACTTTGTATAGTTCGTACCAGTATAGAAATGGTGAAATTGTATGTGTGACATGTTAGGCTTGAAGCTAGAACCAAGACTGATAGAGACCGCACAAATCAAACTTCACAACACATACCTGTACATTGATGTAAGCTGATGGTACAACTTTCCCCTCAACTTCACAACACATACCTGTACATTGATGTAACCTGATGGTACAACTTTCCCCTCAACTTCACAACACATACCTGTACATTGATGTAAGCTGATGGTACAACTTTGCCCTCAACTTCACAACACATACCTGTACATTGATGTAAGCTGATGGAACAACTTTCCCCTCAACTTCACAACACATACCTGTACATTGATGTAAGCTGATGGTACAACTTTCCCCTCAACTTCACAACACATACGTGTACATTGATGTAAGCTGATAGTACAACTTTCCCCTCAACTTCACAACACATACCTGTACATTGATGTAAGCTGATGGAACAACTTTCCCCTCAACTTCACAACACATACCTGTACATTGATGTAAGCTGATGGAACAACTTTCCCCTCAACTTCACAACACATACCTGTACATTGATGTAAGCTGATGGAACAACTTTCCCCTCAACAATGGAGTAGAAGATGGCCATCATCCGATCAATCGGGAAAACCTTAGGGCCTAGCAGATGATTACTTGTCTGTGGAATAAATTATAAATAGCACTAAATACAATGAAAGCATTAAAGGCTGGGAAAAAACAAACAACTAGTTAGTATGAACAAGGATGATGAAGATAAAGAAAATGGCGTTTACTGGGCACATAGTGAGAAACGAGAAACAGCAATCAGAGTCGTCACTAAAAACAGCAATAAAATGGACTGAAGAGTTAACAATGTCCAAGAGAATCTCTTAGACAAACACTGATGAGAGAAGCCAAAGGTGGCAGACTGCATTCCATCCATGATATCCAACAGATATGATAGAATGAAAAGAATGAAGGAATAGACATCATGTGTGACACAATGGCAAAACCAGATGGTATCAATGCTGATAATAATAACTAGGGAGAAATTTAAGTGTAACAAAAAATGAAAGTCAAATATATTTCATAACTGCATGAAGTTTTTGTTTGTTTTGTTTACAAAAAAAAAAAGCCAGTACTGGCTTCTTTTTCATACATCTGCCACTGGAGCAGAGGCGAACAGTAGTAGCACGGGCAGTAGTGTGTGAACGAGTATACTTATGTTTAGAATTCTGTGGACAAGGATAAATTACTCTGCATGATCAGAGCGAAGTGACCGTTTTTTGTGTAAAACTGCAGATACATCAGAAGGCTTTAAGAAAATGAGATGAAACAAAATGACTAATATACTTACCCTCTCACTCTTCTTGACATGCTTAGCTCGTTTAGACACTTTGGCGGAAAACTGGGAGAGACAGAAAAAAAGCTTCATCAACATCATTCTATTTGTCTACTATACGTATATTACTACATCAAAGTAATCTTTTTCTTCACTTGTCTAATCTGCAGAGCAGACGTATGTGATTGTCACAGTATATGTACTTGTATGGTAATCAAGAGATATCTGTTTAGAACATTATCGAATGTTCATGAACTCAGCAATTATATTTTTAATTCTAATGTTACTTCAATTTTAACAAATATTAGTGACAGCTGGAGAGTCACTAAAACAAGGAACAAAAGTTCAATGCATTTAAACAAAACAAAAAAGTCCAAGCCATATTAACAGTGTATAACACAGCCCTTGATCCGTTAGGGTCGTGGAGGTGTCCATTTCTTGATGTTGTCAATCCAGATTATTCTTTGCTCTCTTCTTCTTCCACTATCGCCCGATGTTCCTTGAAGCATAGTCTTTGTAATCAAATCAAGTCTCACCACATGCCCAAACCAAGCTAGCTTGTGACGTTTCAACAGAGTCCTCTGATATCCTGCAGATTTGTATATTTTGTTTCTGGTGTATTTATTAGTTTTGTGTTCTAAATAACTAATTCGTAAAATGCGTCTCTAACTTTTACATTCGGAAGCTCCTGAATCCTCCTTTCCATTTCCACAGTGAGGGTCAAACTCTCACATCCATATAAGAAAATGGACAATACCAGTGATCTGTCCTGCCTTCTTTAGTCACTATGTACATTTCACAACCAGAAGTTCAAGATAGCCATAAGGTTACCAAGGAAGTTTGACAGTTACTACACACACACAAAGTTAGTCAATGTCTTTTTTATTGTATTTAAAGAATGATAGTACAAGATATTTGACTTACTTTAGCAAAGAACCTCCTGTCATATTTCATGGGGTTGTATGAGGCAATGTATGCAGCAATGAGGAGAAACTTGGAGTAATAGGGTAGTTCCACATAGGATCTTGATGGAACAATGGCTGCAATTGAAGATAGAAAGCAGAATTTACAAATTAACAATATATTTTAAAAGAAACAATGTACATATTTATCCCCAAACAAAAATTGAAAATAAACATGGACATAGATAAAACAGCGAGCGCCAAGAGCAGCACGCTCTCATGTGGGAGACTTGAGTTTGATCCTTTGATGGGAAAGTTTTCTATCTGGGAAAAATAACCCCAAACTGCAGTTTGTGGTGACTGCACTAGTCAGAAGCCTTATTAAATCCCCAAACTCATAACCCCCCCCCCCTCTACTAAAGTAGTAAATAGGGGCAAATGAGAGTTCAAAATGCATTTAACATATAACTAAGGAGCGGCTGATGGGTAGTGAAGAAAGAATAGACCCCCTGTTCCTCTAATAAGCATGTCATAAAAGGCGAGTAATTAGGAATTGCTTTCTTTGAAGTCGGAGTCTATATGCCTGAGAGGCAAAGAAACAATAGTTTGCGCACAATTAAGCTACATCTGTAAAAGTTCTAGTTTAGAGGTACAACGATACATTTCTGCCAAAGCTAACAGCCGGTCAAGGATTAAATACATTTAAAAAAAAAAGATGAAGCCAACAGCCACTTACAATGCTGATCCAAAAGATGAAGCTAACAGCCACTTACAGTGCTGATCTAAAGAAAGTCTTGACTATTTTTACAAATGGCTTGAAAGAGCTGATAGTTCATAAATAGAAATTAACCTTCCAAATAAGTCAAGAAGTTCTTTTCTGCTGTCATTCTATGAAAATGGGACCATTAATTTTATGTAAATGCAACATAAAATAAAACAAGACACACACAGGTACACAAAATGTAAGCAGTTAGATGTGTTTATGGCAAAGGATATATATGACATTACCTTTAGAATAAATATAGTTTTATGTATTGAAACTTTTTGAAAAGGCTACACAAAATCTACATGATGTATATTTACCCACTCTGACCTTTTAAATTAATCATTTTAAGAAAACGGTTGCATGGAAAACTTGTCAAAAAGCTAAATGAACAACCATTTAAAAAAAAAAGGCAAAATGTTTCTAACCTGGCCTTAAAAAAAAAGACAAACTGGCAACCATGAATGCATGCAGTGAATTTGTTTGTGGCAAAGAAACACAAATCATTTTTGTGCCAGGGTATGTAGGTGTAAAGATAGACTGCGGGAAGGGTATGTGACATGGACCAGGCTAACATAATGAATGATTTACAACACGTAAGTGATGAATGAATCTGCAACCCTTATCAGACTACAAAAACTGCAAGTTAAAATGGGTGAGGCCAGACAAGAGCATGAAACAGGATGCCAAAGAAGAATAATCCAACACAGAACTGATATTATCAGCTGCTACATACTGCAGATTATAGCAAAGAGGGGATCCGAGCACCTATCAACTGAATGACTCGATGTACAATGAGAATGGTCTATCGACTAACTAATGACTAAAGAAAGAAGACATCTGACTTACCTTTAGAAAAATCAGAGTCTGGATCAGCCAGCTCAGCTTGCTGCAATAGCTCCCACTGACGACTGAAATTAGATAATGATTACCTTTCAGGTGGTAATTAAGAGTTAACAAACTAATGTGGAAATCCTTAACTCTTTGAGTCTCAAGAAACGCATCACGCCCTAATTCGCTACTACCTGGCGGCCCAATCAGCACGTGACGTGCGACGGTTTTTCAAGTGTGTAGTGAACACACATGGAGTGCATTCCTTTGTGTCTGGTGCGTTTTTAACGCTATAAATCTATATTTGTGTGGTCTACTACGTTACCAAACAACTGTCTGAAAACAATATGTCCGATCAGTCATCATCTTCACGGCCAGGAAAGCTATTTACTGCTTTAGAAGCATCAAATTTGATAAAACAGTGGATCGATCAAAGTGATGTGGAATTGGATAATGATAGTAGCGACTTGGAATGTCCCCAAACCGTTGACGAGTCAAGTTTTGATGAGGAACGTGTGCGTAATTTACCTCCAGATAAGAGGAAAACACTGACTAAGTCTGCCAGGGCAACACAAGAGAATAGTGGTGCTGAAGCATCCCGTAACGTGACACTAGCTAGTCCAAATGTGAGTGATTTGCTCCATATCATCTAAAACCATAGATATATATCTATGAACAGGTTGACTTGTTTACAGTGCCTTTACAGTTTTTTCTCTGTGAGGAATTCAATTGTTTTTAGAAAAGTCACTGTTTGTGCCCCTGGAGATTATATTTTGACGTGTTATGGTAGTGTTATTAAAACTGCTATGGAACAAAAACTATTGCACATTTAGCTTTAATATTGGCTGCGCATACTTATAAGTGGTGTACCTTCATTTGTGATGCATTTTGGATATTCTATAACAGGAATTTTGGGATCAGCTTTTGGGTAAGTGGAAAAAACTTTTCATAATTTACTCACCTCTCAAACTAAGTCACTGTTTACTCTACTAAATACTAACTAAAGGTATAATTGTTTGTTGTAGCAGTATGCTAATATTATTCCTTATCCATTTATGTTTATTTTCATGTATGATATGTGTATATTGCACATCAGCTGCAGTTGTGTGGTTTGTTTTAAAGTGCTGCATTTGTTAAAAGTCAAAATCATATTACCCCCCCCTGGGCCTCTGATGCAAAACCCCCTGGGACTCAAAGAGTTAATGCAAACTTTTAAACAGAGTTAAAAGGGAAAATGTCTCATTAATTAAACAGTTGTTAAAATCAGCAAAGATGCACATGTAATTATAGCTTGAAACTTATGCTATAAATATTTGTTAAAGATAAAGCAGAGAGGTAATCATACCTTGACACTTCTCGAAGATAAACACTTGTCAGTGCCTTTTTTAAGTGCGGTTCAATATTTCTCCATAGTTTCTTAGTATCAGAAGGTTTCACTGGTGAAGAGAAGACAAAATCTTTAACAATGGTGAAAACATTCGGAGATGGAGTCGTCAGTATTTGACAATGCTATAAACTAAATAAGAGAACATTAGAGAATGGCATGCCATGTACTCTGTATGTAATTATCTAACATCCCTGAGTGGAGAGAGTGGGGGACAAATTATAGACTCACTGATGCCCTCACACTCATGTTAGAAAGGTGACAAATTAGGGATGTTTTTCTTCAAAGTAGGAGTGCCTCTGCCTCAGTAGCAAATAACTAGAACTTTCCACTGCAGTTTGCAGCTGGTGAATGCTAAAAAGGAAAGAACAAATTTCGGTCCTTTCAAGCATTCCTCTCTCAGCCCAATTCCATTTAGAAACATGCTGTGTCTATACAGCAGTATATATACATACATATACATACATACACATACATACATACTACACAAACGCACACTTATCTACATACACATATTCATATAAATGTCTGCATATACGCACATGCACCTAGGCTCATACATAAACATACAAATATGCAGTCATACACACATACATACAGTTGTATACACACACACACACACTGATATATATATATATATATATATATATATATATATATATATATATATATATATATATATATATATATATATATATATATATATATATATATATATATATATATATATATGCCTGCACACACTTATTTTTACATATACATGAACACTCATAAATACACAAGAAGAACTAAACAGTAATAATAAATTTGAAAAAAAAAAATAATCAACTGTATTACCTTCATTTTTTTCAATAGGTTCAATGAAATACTGGTAGTTCAGCCGTGCCTAGTTTGGGAAGACATAAAAAAACAAAAACAATGATCATCATGCTATAAAACTGGACAAGAAGCAATAATTTTACAAACAGAACAGTTTGAGTTGAGTTAAGAATTGACATCACAGCATTCGTGGATTCCAATATGCGCTCCATCCCCATCTTCAGCAGCCAGGGCAGAGTTCCTATACTAATGGTACCAACTATAGTCTGGTTATGTGTCCGTCTAACCTTTCCTCTGAGTGTAGTGAGCCGGCAAGACACTCTGGTCACACCCAGGTGCCTCATTCTCTCCAGGCCATAATAATTTAGCTTCTCTCTTGACTTCGTTACTTGTTCCCAAAGTTCCTTGACCTCATCGGCCTTGTCATGCATCAATTCACCACCCAAAGGTGCAAGATGCAACCAATCTATCTGCCTGTTCATTCCCCCACCACGCTGGCATTGCCTGTATGCTTAATACCAGTAACCTTCCAAGTAATGCTTGTTACTCTGCTCGAAGCCACCCTATCTTCATCTTTAAATTTCTCAGCATGATTTCAGAGTCTGTTTAGTAGACAGAACAATTGACAAAAATCTGTGTCAATAATTACATAGAAGCAACATGATATATAAATCATTTTACCAGCTGATCAGCAGGCACAGAAGATAAGGAAAGAATTAGGGATATGAAGTCACAACAGACAACATAAAAATCAAAAGCTAGCTACACTATGTTGTCTCAGAACCAATATCATAGAATTCAGGACATTCAAATTAATGTTCTGTCCCTGTCTCCCCTTATCATTTGTACCTTAATCTCAACATCTTTTCTGTTTTTTAAGTTTGATTCTTTTTCTTTTTCAGTCTCTGGACGTAAATGCAAAGTTCTGGCTGTTCACCCATTTCTGTACTTTGGTTATGTTCCAGAATTTTGCGGAACACCTGTTTCAAGATCTGGCTTCATTTTATGCAGACCGCTGGTTCTTTGCCTCTCAGACAGATGCCCTCCGACTTTGAAGGAAACACTGATGCTATCTATGTTAACCAGGCCCCTGTCTGGATAAATGCAGTGAGGGGTAGACACATCTTGACCAGTAAAAGCCTTGGTTCTGGTTCAGCACCTCTGTCCCCCAGATGTGATCCAATAAAAAATACAACACATACACAGGTACACAAAATGTACATAGATGTGTTTATAGCAAAGGATACATACTGACACAGTAATATTTATGTGTGTATGTCTTTTCAACAAGACCATTATTTAATGAGTATTTTGCTTACAAATTTGTCAGTTTCAAAATATGGCTGGTAAGCTTGAGTTGAGTAGATTTTAGAACCAACATCACAGCATTCAGGGCATTCCCATAAGCACTCTGTCTCCATCTTTAGCAGCCAGTGAATAGTTCTAATACCAATGGCGCCAGTAGCAGTCTGATTACATGTCCGTCTTGACTTTCCACTCAGAACCAAGTATTGGTCAGATCCACTAGTCACTCCTTGCTGCCTCACTCTCACCAGACAGTGGTGATCAACTGTACACGTGCTCTGACAAGGTCTCAGCCACGTCTGTCTTATCATGCAGCAATATTCCAAACTGTGCAGAGCCAGCCAGTATGGCCCCCTGTTCATTGACTTACTTACTTAGTCGCTCCTCTTCTACCTTGGGGTGTAGAGGTTTGCCAGAGAGTTCGCCAGACGTCTCTATCAGCAGTTTTCTTTCTGGCTTTGTTCCATTCCAGTCCTCTGTCAGTTAGGGACTGTCGGATGTTGTCTTCCCAGCGCACCCTGGGTCGTCCCAGAGGTCTGGTTCCCTGGTTCTTAGCCAACCATGCTTGCCATGGTGGCCGATTTTCTCACATTCTGCATACATGTCCAAACCATCGTAACTGTGACTGATCTACTCGGGTTAGTAAGGGCTGGGTATCAAGATCTTGACGTATTGTCTGATTGCGGACTTTGTCCCTTCTTGTCACTTGGACCACCTTTCTCAGGTATCTCATTTCCAAGGCCTGCAGCTGGCTTCTGTGAGCTGTTGTCATTGCCCATGACTCGCACCCATAGGTCAGGACTGGTACATAGGTAGAGCGGTAAACAGCCATTTTCGTCCTCTTGCCAATTTCTCTTTTGCTAAGAAACCCCTGTTCATTTCCCAACACAAAAGGCATACCCTGGAAAAAGATCTAGACAATGCTTTTCACTCATGGCCTCCGAAGAGAAACATGTCTGTTCTCACCTTCCCCAACATACTTTCTGAGTCAATAACAATTATGATGTGTTTCTGTATTGTGTTTTCTAGTCAGCAGAAATCTGCAGTGACTGCCTCCACCTCCATTCTTAAGCCAGATGTTGCCGTTGTTAAGCTTGAACAATAAATAAATAATCAAAATCATTCCTTGGGTCTCAGAGATGTGGACACGAAGACAACTTACCATAAAGATCCAAGTGCACTGTTTAAGAATGCAAGTGCACTAACAATTCACCACAACTTCTACTGAGTCAGCCAGATACCCTCACAAACATTAAACTAGTAATACAACATTAAAACTGCATTAAACAGGAAGGATGAACAAATACTAACAATGTGGCGTAGCTCCCTCAAGTCCCGACACACCATGTGAAAGACTGACAGAACTATGTTGATGTAGAGTGAGTATAAATCTTTCTCACATGATGCCGGGGCATCCAGGCACATGATTTCCATCAGTTCCTCTTTTAAAAACAAATGAAAATTGTCAAAATTAATTAATAAATATATACAGGGAAGAAAAAAAAGACAATCACAGCACATCAGGCATATTATCTATCTATCAAAATGAATTACAATATGTCAAGTTCATTTTGTATTTACTATATATTCACATATGGTATAGTTTACATCATATACTGTTGACACACTGTATCTTGTATACTAGTATAGGGGTTGGTTTCTGCTTACAAATCTGTACTGGAAAAGTGGCGCACTGGGCATATGGGGAGGGGGAGGGGGGGGGGGGGCTAGACTCACATTTGTATGGATCAATCGGCCCTCTGTGGGCGATGTGGTCAACATCACGCAGGCCCTCTTTTCTTCCCCTGACTTTTTCGGGAAGCCATTTAAGGCTGGGTCAACCTGGAAGCCATGGACATGTGTAAAAAAAAAAAGAAAACAAATCAGGCTTCATGGTGATTTAAACCCGCGACCTTCAGATCCACAGGTGAGAAAGTAGCCGCTACACCAAGGCCACATTAAAACCAGCAATGATGTGGAATAAAACCCCAGACCTTTGGGTCGGTAGATTGGTCTAATCACTATGCCACCCCCTGTGCTTTGCAGAATATTATCTACATCTTAGGGTTGAAGACAAGACTCAGTTCTTTGCCAGTTCCCCTTCCTCATGAATTTTCATTTGTAAGATGCCTCAAATGGCCTGCGTCCACATCCATCTATGTTCTGGTACACCCCTATTTCTGTATGTCACTGTAGTAGAAAATGAGTTCGAGAAGCAACACCTATTAAAAATCTTACGTTGATAGGGAAAACAGGACCTAGCGATATCTAATTTGCTTAACGTTGTTCTTTTATGAGGGAGATTGAGTATATATTGACATGTCTAAGCTCTTGTGGGGAATGATAGATTCTACAAAACACATAATGCCAGTCTCCCAAAAATAATGTGCTGACTATGTATGGGTTAGCCAAAATCTTTAAAAAATCTGACTTCCTGTAAATGGACATAAGATTATCCTTGGTATGATGAATGAAGACAAGGCAGCTGGAGTATTGGTCAACTTCTCTATCAACGTTCCTCATGAGTAATATATTTCAGCAATTTTTATTTTTATTTTATAAACTAGTTTGCTGTTTTGTAGATTGTTGACGCCTTTTGTTGTTAGTCTTATGAGGCACAATCACTAAAGTTCACTTACAAATGACAACAGATCTTTTGTGACATTGTCTTCTTTTACTTCTTCATGTTCACCAGCTGTAAATTCTAGTGGAAAGTTCTAGTTGTTTGTTCACTTCTGGACTTCTGTCTTGTGCTAGTACTTGAAATTTTCTTGCACATACATTTGTACAGATCTGGCTTATTTGAATGCAGACTGTTGGTTCTTCACCTTTGAGGCAAATGCATTCCAACTTCAAAGGAAAACTAACTAGTATTCAAATATTGATTATTTAAATACTCACGACGACTGTAATCTGGAAAATGCAGGCAGTATGGTTCATAAAAACCAGTCCCAGAACGAAACTTTTCCCAGACAATTTCGGATACAAAAATTGTGCAGACATTCAGTCCAGACTGGAAGGAAAAAGTACAAAAAGATAGAATTCAGTTTAAATTATTTAAAGCATATACATCACAAGCATATATCAGACATGTGTTGATGTATGTGTTTGCATTCACACATTTAAATTACATCAGCTTATGAAGTACTCTATAATTTAATTATTTTTATGTATTAACTCAAGAATATAATCTACAACTCCCATAATAGCTACTCAAACAGTTAGTAAATCTTCTTTTTCTTCATGTTTACTGACTGTAAACCCCGGCGGAAAGTTCTGATTGTTGCACGCACATTCGTTTTACAGGTCTGACTCATATACATGCAGACTGTTGGTTCCTTGCCTTCCAGGCAGATGTACTCTGACTTGGAAAGAAGTTTCCAATTAGTTGACTCTTATGAAAGTCACGGGTAGTGAGCATACTTTCTATCTTTTCTCCAGGCCATGCTGGCGCGGTGGGGAATGAACAGGCAGACAAGATTGGCTGAATCTGCACCAATGGGTGGTGAATTGATACATGACAAGGCAGATGTGGTCAGGGCCCTTTGGAAACAAGCAACAGAGTCGGAAGTGAAACAAGAAGCCTGGAGATAGTGAGGTTCCTAGGTATAACCAGGGGCTCTGGCGGGCTCACTAGACTCAGGAAAAAAGAAAAGGCAAGAGGGATATATAACCAGATTTCGAACAGTAACATTAGTATTGGAACTTTGTGTTGGCTGCTGAGGATGAGGATGGAGCACACATGGGAATGCCCCAAGTGCTGTGATGTCAATTCTTTACTCAACTCAACGACATGCTTTTTGGCAGGCAGTGGGTTTATTCTTGTTTTCCCTACAATGGAGCCTCAGAACACACACTTGAGATTTTAGTAAATATAGTACACTAAATAATGCGGACACAAACAATACACAGCAAAATCTAGTGCCTGGCATGTAAATACACTAAAATTACAAAAACTCACCAACTCCTGTAGTCTTAGCAAGACTGGCAATAGGCTCGCACTACTTTCCCGCAGTCTTTCTGCCTTATCTAAAACCTACACAATGAGAAATAAAAGCAGTCATCAAATGTAATGTGTAGAATATCCTCAAGGGTCTTTCTAGCAATTTCTCCTTATTTAGAAGATCAAAGAAGCTGTGCTAGCATCCATGCCTGCCATTACAGAGATCTTGGGGTCACATTTGCATTGAAACATGCCTCACATGACATAGCCTAAAATGGATATCAGGAAGTGTCCTGGAAAGCAAAGGCAGCCAAAATGGTGCAGATAATACTCACCAACTGCAGTTTCTAAAAATAAGACCAGCATTATCTGACTGAGGCATCTATGTCTAGAAAATGATCCCTTTTCTGACTTTTTCTTTCAGAAGACTGATGGAGGGATTGTCTAGATGTTAATCCGAAGATATGTTAAAATTATCCTATCATGCCTCTCCATCATCACATACTCTCCATACTTTTCTTCAGCTCTGATGAACTCTTTCAGCTAAAAGCAACAGATGGCATGTAACTGGCTTCATTGAGAATTCCAACAATTGTTAAATGCTTTGCTAGTTTTCTTTTTCCCTGCCTGTGGTTTTTAGGTGAGAACGCCACAGGCCGCTATAAAGATTGGGGTCTGATGCATGTCGTCCACTGATCCAGACTTTGGATTTCACCGGAATGCCAAATGGGCAGACCGAGGATCTCTTGACTGCATGTAGAGAGCATGTCTGCAGCACATATTCAGCATTTTTGTGGTGACTGTCCACATGGACAAAGTCAGTATACACTGCTTGCCTTTGTTTTCCACGTCTCCATTTTGTAAGCTGTTACTTCCCCTCATTCTCGATGAAGTAATCGTTACTTAAAACTAATATACACTGGGAATAAATGCAATCAAATAAACACTCTGTTAAACAGAAAAAGCTAAATTAATTACTGGGTTAAGGTAGGTGAATGTTATACAGAGGAGCAGCGGGCTAAAATTTGAATCCTCAACAACATTATGTGTACTTTGAAAAAAAAATCCTAACCAGCAGTCTGCAGTGACTGCATTAACCCTAAATCTGCAGGCTCAAGATCCACACCTCCCCCGAGCAAAAGTGGTAAATGTAGTGAGAGTGTAACAACTGAATGGGACATAAGGAGTTTTAAAAAATGCATAATTTGTATGATATTATTGATGAACATATAGTGAGTTGCTTAGAACTTAATGACTTCAAATGCTTAGAAAAATAAAAAAAATAAAAATATAAAAAAAACATTACACAAGTACTTACTAAATACAAAGTCTGATTTTTCAGTGGGCTTTCAGATATAAAGCTGACAAGTAGTCTGATGAAGTCTGTCAGGTTATCACATTGTATGTAGTCATCATCATCATCGCCATTCTCTATATTCAGAAGATTATTTAAGTCCTGGGAGATCTGGTAGCTCCCTTGCACAGGAAGGTTATTCAGGATGTGTTCAAAGAGAAATCGAGGACTTGAACACTCAATAGAATTGAGAAAAATGTATGGTAACTGGGAAGATAAAAATATAAGTTACTGATTACAAAATTCTGAATCAAGGAAACCTGAAAATTAAGTTTTTGAAAACTACTTATTACTGTGACCATGAATGAAAAATAAAAAGTACATTTTAACTAAAAATAAAACAAATTATTTAAAAAAAAAAATAGAAGTTATTTGCATATAAGAGAAAAAGGCAGACAACAAAACATAGGTACTTAAGAAAATCAAGACAACTGAAAAATTTTGTGAAAGAAATGCATCTGAATGGTCTAAGCTGTTAGTATGGTAGAATGTGATCAACAGAACAAACCAGAACTACAAGGACTGAGTTTTGTGGAGCAGTGGTTCTCAACTTTTCTAATATACCTTCCCCCTTAATACATTTCCCATGTTGTGGTGCCCCCTACCCTCCTCAGTCATAACATTCTTTCGTTGCTACTTCATAACTTCAGTGAATATGTGTTTTCTCAAGGTTTTAGGCGACCCATCTGAAAGTGTTGTTTGAGAACCGCTGTAGATGATATGAAGTTAAGGTGTATGATGCTTCTTTTTGTTCTGCTTTTCAGGCCCAAAAGCAGCAATGACCTTAACCAACTTATGCCAAGTTTAATGACTATTTAATTCCCTTCTCCAAGTATTGTTGGCCAGCCTTTCCTCCTTTAACCTGCGGGTTTCAGTGTAAGGTCTTTCTAGTTAAACAATTAACAGATTTTCTGCATGTTTATCCTATCTAATGCCAGTTTTATCATTGTCTCTTGGTTCAATCAAATTTCTTTAGTTCTCCCTCACAGCTGGAGATTTGTCATTCATTGAAATCCTTCTTTTCTGCACAGGTCCTAGTTAATGAACGTTTGTAGTTTAATCAATGTTTTAGTTTTTCAAATTTCAGGTTCATACTCCTTCTGCGTGCATTGGAAGATGAAGATGGCTGTGCCCATTTACAAAACAGCTGCAATAATTGTGTCTATTGGTTGAAACATCCGACTTCTGCAGACATTTGATGCCCAGGTTAGTTTTCCTGGAGATCCATACAAAAGCGGTCTTCTTCTTCTTTGCGTTCACCAGCTGTAAACTCTGGCGTAAAGTTCTGGTTGTTCACCCACTTCTAGACCGCAGTCCTGTTCCAGAACCTGGGTGTTGCATGTGCATCCATTTTTACAGATTTGACCTATTTTTATGCAGACTGTTGGTTCCTTGCCCCTCAAGCAGATGCACTCCGACTTTGAAGGAAGCTCTCAATTAGTCGACTCTTACGACATGCTTTTGGGTAGGTAGTGGGTCTATTCTTGTTTTCCCTATAACAGGACCCCAGAACCCACACATGGAACACAAAAGTGGTGTTTTTACAGTATATTAAAATATCTCAAGCTTAATAAATGTTTAAATTCCTCTGACTTCCAGATTTCCTAGTGCTATGAAAACTCTGTGCCCCATGCCTTTTATCTTCTATGTTTATTTCTCTGTACGATCCCCTCTATAAAAATTATGCAAACATCACCCAAGCAACACAGTACAGTACAAACCTTATTGTGATTCAGTACTGACTGCAGCACAAGGGACTTTCCTGTTCCAGTGTGGCCATATATAAACAAAGAACCGGTGGTCATTGCTTGTCTCTAGAATGTAAAGATAGCAAACATTTATTAATCTGTGACACAACACACTTTAATGCTGTGTAATGGGCAAGTGACATTCTGTAAAGGACATGCTGATTATGATGAATAGGCAAAATGAGAGGCATGCTTCTGGTGTTCGATGGAGTTTTCTCCACTTGGCAGAGGCACTCTTTGGTGGCTATTTAGTGTTTCAGTCCTTGGTTTGCATGCTGCAGGCAGTTTACCATAACATGATACTGACAATACTTTGCTCCGACAGAATGATCATATTCCTCAATAGTATAGCATTTATGATCACAGTAAAACTATATTTTAAAATGTCCTGTCATAAATATTCTTTAATGATCCAAAGTAGCAAAAGTAGTTGTTTATCTAAAGCCTGCAGTTGGATAAATATGATAGTAGACAAAATAAAGTAAAGACTGGATTTATATTCCAAGGGAATTTTACATAAGCCCATTCAAAAACAGTCCTTTTCACACAGTGAATCAGTAGCGAATTCTTTTTTTATGAACAGTAATAAAGGAAAAGAAATTACAACTATGACTTAAATTACTTCAATCTATGGGCAGTATCTTGCGACTCCAGTCTGCTTCTCCTCCCCCCTTACCCGGTAAAAAAAAAAAGAAAACCTTTATTTAACGTCAGGAGGCATATTGGGTAAATGGAACTAGCCACACATATTAACTGGCACTTGACGGATGTTGCGGTTAATACTTTGAATACTGCCTTTACTTCACAGGAAGATTTTGTGCTACCTACTTTAACCGGGAACAAGAGATGAAAATCAGATGACTGTTTAATCAATCAATAAATGCAACAGCTACCGTTATACTTCAAAACAGAGAAAACGTAAAAGTAACATACCTGGCCAAACAGTGACAACAGCGTTTTAATCTGCTGTTGTCGGCATAAGACTTTAGAATTTAAAGAGCTGTCTTCATCAACTTCTGACGTCTCTGCCATAGTTCCCACTGTTTGCTGTCACAGGTAATTAATTTATCCTCGTTATCTTTGATTTAAATTACATTGGTGCTGCATTGATACTTGTAATATATTCTTGTACTCCGTTGCTCACACAGCTGACTCTCATCAACTCAATTTCATATCTGCTAAACAAAAATAGAACAGTGACACCACTTTATCGAGGGATACCTGTATACTGCATAGCAGGGCTAGTCAACTGGCAGCACAAATGTTGCCTGCAGAGGTCTGGCAAGTGGCTCGCAGACCATTGCTAATTGAAATGTAATAATGATTTTTTTGTTAGGGATCCGGCCTCTGGCCCTTGAAAATTCACTTCTTCAACATTTTGGTCCCAGTTTAAACTTAGCTGAATAGCCAGCCTGTTGTACAGGGTTCAATTTCTGAGGCAAGCATTTTGCAAAAAGACAATTCTTGTGGCTTTCAGACAGTGGTACGAGAGTCATACCAGTGCAGTAATTGGGGCCTCACCAAATATTATTTTCTAAAGACTGCAGTAAATGCATTATAACATCAATTGCAGCCACACTCCATTTTATCCATCAGCATACTTCATAATGCGTTTTTCAGTTTCACCAATTATTATCAGAGCAGCTTCTAGATTTTTTCTACTAATTAACTATCTTTCATCTTCATAATCAGAAATCAATATTAAATCTGGATAAGAATGGGAAATTTCATAAGGATTGGCTTATAGAAAATTTTAGTGGCATCACTGTTTTTGCTCCCATCCAAATATCTGCGCCAGAAGGACGCTTGACCCGATTCTGCTTTGTAATTAATAAATTGTGCAATGTATTGTTTGTATCCTCTTTATTTAAATTAATAAATCATCACATGCTTTAATGCTATTAACTTAGTTGCAGCAAGTAAAAATTTTGCTTCTACAAAGAATTAAAATATTTCTTTATGATTTTATTTCATAATCAGATCCGATTTAAAACTTTTCCCACACGGCTGTGGTATACTATTCACGCCCATCATGGTTGCATTTTCAGAACTTTTGTGTTATTAACTTGAAATGTTTACTAAATTAGTAATGTTAAGTGAGTTTAGTTTTTTCACAATCCACAATAGCATTTTTTTTATGCATCTGTCATTATCTAAAGTTCATAGAATTTTCCGTTGAAGATATTTTTACCCAAACACTTTCAGCCTTCGTTAACGAACTTAACCTATCAGGCCACACAGGCGGAGATTTTTTAGTAATTATGTTTAAATGTACACTAAAACACTAATGTTATGAGTTATATTGTTTGAAATCTAAAAACTTTAACAGTAATAAATAAACACACAAATAGAACATACTGACCCACAAAGAACAGCTACTCCAAAGGTGCGTACAGTGGCAATGTATATTCAATTTTGAATACAATCACATTCATAAGGTGCAAAAATTATGATACTGTAAGTTAGACAGAACCAAAGTTAAGGGTTAAAGTCGAAAGGATCGACTTCATTGCACAGGGTTTCATCCCATATAATTTCTTTAAAAGAGAACAGTTATCTTCTGCAGTTTAATCACTATGACAGCTTTTAGCATGTATACAGTTACAGTGTTATTTTAAAATCTGTTGGTAGTGATTTTTAGTTTTATTGGTGTAAGAATGTTATGTTCTTGGATACTGGGCAAACATACAGATACTACTACAGATTTTTTTCCTCAGTTGCACAATAGCTGAAGCTGTAGTTTTCTGGCGAATTCCATCATTCCTTACATATGCGAGCAGCATCAAAGAAGCTGTGATCACATCAAAATCCAACTGTATACCAATCATTCATGCTGTTTCTGTTACTAATGTATGCCTAGACTTATGTGGTATTCACTCCTACACAACAATAGAGAACCAGTAATATGTACCTGAAAACAACAACGTGTAACAATGACCTTAGTTGTTTGTAGTCTTCTACCTGTCAGATGGATATTTCCAGTGTCTTTATAAGACATAGAAGCAGCATGAGAGGAGCTTAGGTGAATACGTATCACACCAAAATACCACAGTATATCAATCATCAATGCTGTTTTCGTCTGTCACAATCTGTTTGTCTATTAGTCTATCATAGCTGTCTAACACAGTTCCTTTTTTGTGGTTATAATGTGAGGACATCAGTGCTATCCCTCATGTATGCACAGTATCATTCAGTTGTCACCATGGCTAGTCGACACTGTTAGGCCATTCGTGTTGCAAAGACATTCACACCAATTTTTGTGTCAATTTTTTTTAAAAACATACTGTCAATTAGTGTCGTTTAGTTTTTCTTCAGTCTTCTATCCCCCAGTGGGGCATAGGTCCTCAACCAACTCATGCCTAGCCGTTTTATTCTTTGCTACTGCAGACAGCACTCATTATGTCCTCCCTATCTTTTTAACTTCACTCTCTACTTGATGTTTTTTTGTCTTTCTTTATTAAAAATGCCTCTGTGGGTTCCGGTGCATAACTTGTGTCAGATAACCATAAATATATAAGGTTTTTCCTGAAAAACAGTCAGCTGGCGGCCATGTTATATGTTAAATAGGTCATATCAACTCATACTGGCACATCTTTATGATCTTAGTCTTCGCCTAGTCAGGAGTCACAATTTGATATATAAATTGCCAGGATTGTTAGCAGACAACCATAAATTTACACAGTTTTTACTGAAAAGTAGTAAGTTGGCAGCCATTTTTATATGTTAATTAGGTCATGTCAACTGATATTGGCACATTTGTATGATCCTTATGCTCATCTTGTTGGGACGCACAATCAAAATTCATAATGGTTGTTAATTATTAATGACGAATTATTAAAAATCAATTTGTTCTAATAAACTTTCTGGAGAAGTTTAACAGAACAAGAAAAGCGCCCTAATGTGTTGAAGACGTATTAGACGAATTTAATCACCTGTTGTTTATCAATTATAAAAATTAATTTTCATCAAATTTTGGAATACCTGATCTTTACATATATATATTTTTTGGGGGTGCAGTCTAATAGGACAGTCTGTGGTGGTGTATTATGTGCTCTTTTCCCATCAGTTGTTAGTATGGCCATTATTTATTTATTTATTGAAAATTAATGTTTTAAATGGGCTTAAAAATACAATTTTCACGACTGTAAGCGAAATCCTCTTTATAAATCTGAAACACACATTTTTTTTTATACTTTACTCACTCTGAATAATCAAATAATTACAAATGAACACATTTTTTTGGTTTGTGTTCTTCTTTACTTCCTCTTTTACCGCTGTGGGTGTCGAGGTTTGGTTTGTGTGGTGTAGTTTATTTCAGTTTTTAATTATTTTATAAAGCATACTGTCAAAGTGACTTCCACATACACACGGGGGTCTTTTACCTCTACCACTGACAGTAATTTCTGACTGTCAGGACAAGTGAGTGCCCTGCTCTGCCCAGCTGCAGAGTTGTCCACTTATTCCGGTGGATACCCAGTCCCCAGAGCTGTGTTTGCCACACTGTGGTGTGTTGTCCATCCTCTACCGCACGGAGCTGCAGTTAAGATTTTTCCTTCACTGAGCTATGAGATCATAATGGCATTTCCCAAAACTCTCTGGTACTTTAGAAAAATTTCATTTTCTAGCATAAGGTTTACATCATTTGCCTATGCTCTCTAATTCCAGTCAGAAAAAAAAAAAATAACCATTAAAATATACACATAATAGAAGGCATTTAAAAAATGCACTTAACTGTGCAAAATATAAAACTTGAAAAAAAAAATTGACTTGTTTGTTCCTATTTTTTCAAATCAATGTTTTTTCCTCATATTTCTTTAGCTTCCATTCTAATTCTCTATTGGTCGTGCATTTATTTCCTCCTCATGTTTTTTTCTGCTTAACATTTCCTGTGTCCTGTGTTGCATTTCCTGTTCTTTGAACTGTTTATTCAAATCTGAATGTTTGACTCTCCAAAGATCAAATGATTCCGATTTCCTCTTTATTTTCAAATTCAATGTTTTCAGTGACATTTGTTTCTTTTCCTCTCTTTGTCGAATTCTAAGTGCTCTTATTTGCAAACGTAAGTGCCTGTTCTCCTTCAGCATGTTTAAACTTGTCCGCTGCTTGGCTACACAGTTGTCACAGTCTTTTCTTAGGCGCTTTGGCGATGGTGACCGAGGGAGCAGTGAGACAGAAAGTGATTCATTAGGAATGGAGTTAGAGGGTAAATCATCAATCCATGGTGTTGCAGAAGTGAGTTGCACATGGTTAGTTGGTATGAGTGGTGCGGATGAATTGTCAGTTTGTATGAGTGCTACAGATGAATGATCAGTTTGAATTAGTGGTGAACATGTATGGCCGGGCTGCAGGACTGATGTAGATGTTGCAGCTGATGAGCTTAATGATTCCCCAGACAAAAAGGATATATGAAATGGCTGCTGGTTTAACTTCACAATGCTAGCCCACTGAGAGGTGTAATGCATTTTTTTGGCAGCATGTCTTCTTATTTCACTGACACTTGTCCTCAGTCTCTTTTCATTTATTTGCCTGTCTGGTTCTGCCATCTGTACCATGCCCTTGATCATCTTGTAAATATCTCCATTGGCCAATTTCTCATTCACAATCAGTCTGGCTATATAGCCTTTCTTAACTGGGTACTCTGGCTCAAAGGATGACAGATATGCTCTCATATCAGAAGCTGTCTTTTTTTCCATGATGATGGTGAGCTGTAATAAATAAAATATTTATGCAGTAGTGTAGTTAGTAAATTTACCCCTCCCCCTTATTATTACAGTACAGTCGGTGCAAAAAATACATCCCCCTAAAAAGTGAATGTGGGGGAGGGAGAGTTTATAAATTAATCAGCTGAATCCTGAGGCAAAATGAAATTGGGAATCCAAAATAAATTAAAGAGAAAACAACTTAAAAGGCATAAAATGAAGCAAAAGTTTTCCTCTCCAATTTTTAAAATTATTTTAAACTTAAACTAAACTTGTTTATATTTATGTATGTGTATGTATGTATTGTATTATATCTATATAATAATACAATAT